TCTGAGTATCAGGCCCAGTACATAGAGAGGATCCTTTGCTTTTTAGTCTTTTATTCTGTTTTTCCTGGCAGATAGCAAGCATTATGATTTGCCACAAGGGGGCAACACTATATGGACATCAAAAGCAATGCTTAGAAAAAAAGTCTTTCCAAAATTAGACCATTTAGGGGCTGGAGATTTAGCTCAGTGGTTCTGCCACCTGCCTCACAAACCCAAGGTTCTGAGTTCAACCCCTGGTACCAAAAAGAAAAATAAAAATATTAGATCACTTAATACTGTTCTCCCCACCCTACCCCTTTTTCTATCCTCTCTTTATAATTGTACTTAGTTGGTTATGTTTTCATGCTTAAATTTCTGTTCTTCTTTTCCTTGATCTGATTCTTCAGAAATTAGTCATGATAAAACAAATCTCAGATTTGGGAAGGACTTTGGAAATTGTGCTGTCTCTCAGAACACACTCACCTTCAGCAGTTCCTCCTGCTAGGCTAGCTGGGCCATGGCCCCTCTGTAAACCCACCCACACCCCAAGGGTCATGCTGCACTTTTCCCATGAACAGCCCCTTTTCCTTACACTAATGAGCCTTAATTTCAGCAGGCAGAACTAAAGCTCTCTATATTGCTTCTAAAAAGGATAACATTTCTATATAGGCTCAAATCTTATGAGATTCATTCAATTCTTCATCCATGAAATCACACAGTATATTTTCTTCCTTTCTTTAATCTGCCTTGTGTTCATCTCTTCCCCATTTTCATTTGTACCTACCTCAGTGAAGCTCCCTTTTCTCAGCTCCCAACCACTCACTGGGAGCTTTAAACAATGCTTTTCAGTCCATTTATTGAACAATGAGCACTTGAAATTCTTAGATTCATACAATGTAGTCTATGTTGTGTGCTTTTCCTATGAAAGACTACCATTTCTTACCCCTAAAGTTTTCTTCAATCCAGGCTACATTTAGCATTTGTCTGTGTTTCATGACAGCTGTCCAAAAGAAGGAGGAAGAGTTAGAGAGGGGCTTTGCTCTTTGTGATAGCAATTTTTATCTGAAAAAGACAACATTACTAAGTCATATAGGCTGCTGTCATTAGTGACATGCATACTTGTCCATGGTGTACAGCAACCAATCTTAGGAGAAATAGTGGTGTTAGGAGAGCCATGAAGGGAGAAAATAATAATGACATTGCTTTTAACAAGACAGATTAAGCAATACCTACCATCTAAGAGCTTAATTTGAACTTCCTTTTTCTGCTGATAGAAACGTATCTTTAAAACTTTATAGATTCAAAAATTTATACAGGTTTAAGTGGTCTTAAAAATATATCTCATTCTTATCCAGGCATGGTGACATGCACCTATAATCCCAACACTCAGGAGGTTGAGGCAAGAGGATAACGAGTTTGAGACCAGTCTGGACTATATATGAAGATCTTGTCCCAGTGTGTCTGTGTGTGTGTGTGTGTGTGTGTGTGTGTGATTCTTTTGTCTTCTTTGTTTCACTCATAAATGACTGGATGATCTAAGTAAAAAAAAGTATCACATGGCTTCATTTATTTGAGGTGCCTTAACTGTCAAATTTATAGAGACAGAAAGTAGAATGGTGTTACTAGGAGTTGGGAAGAGGAGGCAATGGGGAGTCGCTGTAGAATGGGTACAGAGTTCCAACCAGGGAAGATAACAACGTTCTGGAAATGAATGGTGGGGATGGGTGCACAGCAATGTGAATGTACTTAAAGGCAATTAATTATTTACTTCAATATGGTTAAGAAGGTAAATTTTATGTTACATATATTTAACCACAATACAAATGTTTTAAAAACAATATTGTTTTCCTAGACATGATGTAAGATTGAACTAGAATGAGGTAAAGCCTACTGTTAAGGAACACTTTTTGAGAACAATAATGCAGAGGGAGAAATGCAAACAGTGACGGTGACCCTGTCTTTTCAGTCTAGGAAGGCGGCAGAGTCTACACATATAATTTCTCTCTGCTTAGTCATCTCTTACCAAGCTGAATTTAGCCTCAGAATGTCCAAGTCTGGAAATCTAAGTCTATCTAACTGAAAAATAAAAATAACCCTTTTTGAGTACATATTACATGACAGTAACACTCATTTAGTACATATTAAGTGGCAGATTTGATCTGGGTCACGAAAAATGCCTTGGGTAGATTTACAAATACCATAAATTAGTTTATTATCCTGTTCTACCTCTTTGCTCTTCAATATAAACAAAGCTTCACACATCCCAACTCAGAATTAAGAAAACAAACAGAGACATCTCTCTGTGCCAATAGCCATGCCAGGGAATGTGTCAGCCAATAATATCGCTGAAGCCATTATGCCACTGACAGTGCCACGTATTGACAATTGGAAATTTATGGAAAGGCTGCGTTTCAGTGCATTAAAATGTCCTATGAGAACAAACTTGCAGGTATAGTCAATCTTTTATTTACAAACCCTTTTCTCTTGGAATCTGGTTCATTTACTGTGGTGAAAGACTAACACATGAAAACCACAGTTCAAAACTGACAGTAAATCTACCTCAAAGCAAAATCATTTCTGGTGTCTCTTGTAGCTGGGTTAAGGTAGCATAAAAGAAAGCTTGACTAGCAGGTATAATTAAAGTATGAATCATGGAATAAGTCATGGGTAACTCTGAAAACACCTAAAAAAAAAAAAAGTCCATTTATAATATACCAAGCTTTCCACACTAAGGGTGAAGGGTAGGAGGGAAAAATCCCAATTCTATGTAAATGCAAGGATGGGCCTGAATGGAAACATACTGATAAGAGCACGAATGCATTATTGGTACAAGCATCTGTGTGAGGCTCAGGAATATAGCATATTCTGCCTCAGGTTATGCAAGAGAACTCATTCTTTATATTTTTTTTCAGAGAACATTTTAAGGTCAGATACTTTGCTTTGCTCTATATAAGCCACTACTCCACCCAGATCCTATACAGCAGGCATAAAGCATGGAATTACATATATGGATGAGTAAATAATAACCCATATCTTAGAATCTAAAATAAATCTGCCCTAGCCTGTAAAACTTTTACTGAAAAATGACGCTCGATGCATGAAATGCCACTAATTAAAGACTGTTGATGCATTTTTAAAGACTTAATCACAAGATTTCGATTTAATAAAAAACAACAAAGGATTGTTATATTTATCCTGTTTCATAGCTCTGCATCTGGTACTCAATTTAGTCACTTGGAACAACAACATGGCAAAAGTTGAAAGGAAAAACTATTTGTTTGGCTTGACTGGATTTTTGTCTTTCAGTCTGTATAATGAATAGATACAAAACCACCTGAAGTGAAAAACAGTCCACTGTTGTTTGCATCATTCCATTTGCTGACAGATTACATTACTGCCTCCCCCTTTCCCCCTAAATGAGGCATATTTAATTGATAAGACACTAGTTCCACACTTTGAGTTACAATAACTAAAATTGCAATTGGCCATTTTACAAATATGTTGAGGATTAATGATCTAAGTTTTGAAAATCTTTTTTTTTCTGTCCCAGAAGAATTTAAATCAAGCCATCATACAGTTTACAAGATCTTATCTGTTTTAGTTTAAGGCTTATGTGTTATTTTCAGGGTTTATGTATACTTTAAAAATTGAAACTAAAAGTCTTGATAGTCCCTGAAACTTAATTGGGAAAAATGTAAAGCACTTTAATGGATTTTTTCCCATGATCTGTATGAGTTTTTAAGCAGATGGTTCAAATGGATAAAGCAATGAAAACGCAAAAATTAAAAGCAGATCATGAAGAAAAGTAACTAACTTCTCAGAAATCCCACATATGAGGGCTGAACAAAATGTAAAGCAACATTCTCTCATGCTGTCAAGGTTTCAAGAGAAACCAAATTTATCAGGTAATCAATCCTCTACTGGAGGGGTAACTGTCTCTTGGTAGAAATGAACTATTCATTTGAAATTCTTGCCCATTTCAACAATTTGAAAATCTCTAGGCTCATAGCACAATCCCATTTAGGTGCCAATTGGAGAAAATAATACTGTAATGCAGATAGTTATTCTGAGAAGTGGAAGCACCAAAGTCCAAGGTGTTTAGTTGGGGAGTCAGGAATGACAACATCTTCCCATCTTCCAAGTAACTGAGGAAAAATACCAGTACATCCCCAGGGTCGGTCAATGAAATCGAGAGGTGGGAAAGAGACAAAACAGCTTTCCAACCTTGAATTTACATTCACCGGGGAAATGTGAAGTAAAATCCAAAACCAATGCTAGAAAGTAGTATTTTCCAAACAGGCTTCAAAATAGGGAAAGTTAACGTAGGTTTCTCTCTGAGGCGATTCCAGGGCGTGCGTGGAGGAGAAAGGCGGTCGGGAACGTAGGCTAGGCGTTTGGGCTCTTTTCCGGGGAGGGGGACCCTGAAGTATGCCTGTTGCCCATCTGGGACGGACGCCCAGGAGCGGACAGGGTTAACGCCGCGGGCGAAGGTAGAGCAGCCGGGCCACAGCCGGGCGCGGGAGAGTGCGGCGAGTGGGCGGGGCGGGGGGCGGAGGGCGGAGGTGGGCGGAAGACGGGGTGGGAGTCCGCGCGGCCGGAGGAGGGTCTCGGCGCTCGGGCCGCGTCCGCGCAGGGGAAGGGCTCCAGAGCTGCCCGAGCTGCCCAAGCTGCCGCCGGGCGCTGCGGACGCACTGCGCCGCCGACTGTCAGGAGGGCTGGAGGCGCAGCTGCCGGAAGTGGCCGTGCACTGCGAGAGCCCCTCCGCACCTCGGGCCGGGGCCCGCAGCTAGTCCCTTCGGCGCTCGGAGTGACGATGCGCACCCATGACAACGACCTGAGCAGACCCGCGCCCCGGCCGGCCGCCCTTGCCCTCGCTCGCCTCGCCGCCGGGGACGAAGCCTGAGCCGGAGCAGGCGGCGCGGCACGGGGCCCGTTTCCTCCGCCCCGTCCCCGTGCGCCCTCGCTGCGGCTGCTCCTCTCTCCGCGCCCCGTGCTCTGCACCCCCGCCCCGACGCCTGCCCTACTCGCCCGGCCGCGCCTGTCAGCGCCTGTGCCATGGGGCTGCCCACTCTGGAGTTCAGCGATTCCTACTTGGACAGCCCGGATTTCAGGGAGCGACTGCAGTGTCACGAGATTGAGTTGGAGCGAACCAACAAGTTCATCAAAGAGCTCATTAAGGACGGCTCCCTGCTCATTGGGGCTCTGAAGAGTAAGAGGCGCTGGCAGGGAGGGGAGGGGAACGGCGCGCCCCGGTCCGGAGAGTCCCGGCTCCGTACGAGGGGTGGGATGGAGGAGACCAAGCTTCTTTTGTTTGAATGGATTTGGGGACAAAAGCTGAAGAGCTCCCCTGCTGGTGGCCAACAAAGTTTGTTCTTAGGTGTTCTTACTTTCTGAGTCGAGAAAAGGATAAGTTTTCTGCTGTTCCTGGAGTATATCCCGGGGAGGGTCCTTAAGTCATCTTTTGTGTAACGCCGCTGGAAAGATGTTGGAGACCCCCTCCCCTTTCTTTCTGTAAATTCTTTTCGTGCCTAGTGTGAACTAAAAGCCGTCCTTAAAGAAAGTGGGTGGGGATGGAATCAAGAATTTAAGAATAAATTTAAACTAGTTCATGTAATGATAGCTGAAAGATATTACTAATTTTCTACGTACATCAGTGACTCTTATTGGGCAGTCAGAGAGTAGACTTTTTAAAAACTACATTTGCAGTTTTGCCATTTAGTAAGATGATCGAAGACAGTATAACATCGGTGGACTTTAACTCTTTACAAATTTTCTGTTCATCTTAATTTCTGGTTTTCATTATGTATAGTGTTCTTCGAGTTACTGAGAGTGAGAGCTCAGTGGCTAAAGGCCAGCTGGAATTTCTGATAAATGACACTGCCTTCCACTCCCACCCCCACCCCCCACCCCCAGACGAGATTTTCTTTCCTTCTTTCATCCTCTGGAACTTTAATTTCAATTACTAAGGCTTAAGAGAGTACAGTATCTGAAACTCAGTTCTCCTACAGAGAATTGAATGACTGAATGATAACGCCTAACTTGTTACCTTTCCCAGGACAGATTTGCATTTTAATAAAAGCTTCTTCGTGCTTTAGTTTCTGAAGTGAAACCATGGAATCTCAGGCCTCCGCCTGTTGGATGGATGAGATATTTTCACAAAGTGGATAGATAGGCCTTTAGGTGATCCAGTAAGCCCTATGACATGTACATGGGCAGCATCTTTGTGTAGGTCAAGTTCGAAGTCAGCCACGTGATTTAGATGTGTGTGTGTGTGTGTGTGTGTGTGTGTGTGTGTGTGGGAATATGAAGCTGAGACAGTTTAGCATCTCATCTGTATTTTGAAGCTGGAACTTAGATGTCTTGAGGTTAATGATTTCCAAAATCCTGTTTTGTTTTAATCAACCCAATGCTAAAATATTTATGTGTCACTGGTGTTACTTAACAAAAGTAAATGTTTTATGCCCATACTGTATTAATTTCTGAATTTGAGGCTACTATGATAATAGTATTTACTGTAATTGGTGAGGAATAAAGTTTACCTGCAGTACAGTATTTTCTACCCTGCCTATACGAAGATAGGAATTCTCCACCCTTCTGTCTTGAAAATCCTGGTTGAGGTCTAAGGGCTAACCTCTTTGGTGAGCACAGTGCCTCTTCGAGAGAAATACTTCCCTATCTTGGAGTGCTGAATGCCAACCTCACTCTTACTGGAGCTGCCAGATGTTCTACATTTTCCCCTCCACTCTGCATGAAATGAACTTTGGTGTTTCAGAAGTTGAAAATCTGACATATGCATTATTTTATGATATTGTAAACTTCCTTGTGATTCTTGGGTCTAGCCTTGTAAAAAATCAAGTGGTTCCCATCCTTAATAAGTGTTTTCTTCCACTGCTATGTGAAGAAAGACATCTTGAGAGTATAAGCTCTTTGAAGATGTAGACCTTGCCTCATTAATTTGGTCTTATCTTAAATATACAACTTGCTGTCTTTCTAAGAGTCTCAGTTTTGTGATCAAACTGTATTACTTTAACAAACATTTGATTATTATTTTTTTCATTGTGGAAAGAAAATGCCTTATTCCTTGTTAAAATAATTTCTAGCATCAGCTGCCAAATGTGAGATTCTAGAGGAAAGAAACTCTTAAAGTCACATTGCTAGCACTGCTTTTTTTCTCCCACCAAACCACCTCTGTCTCTTGGGGAGGATGCTCAGAGGCCGTACTGCTGCTGCTAAATGCATGCTCTCCGAAGATGCTAGCATAGGGTGTGTCTAAGAATTTGAGGCCTGCTTAGTTTTCGTCCCAGTCTGGTCCAAGGCAGCCCTCTTTCTCCTCGTCCTGTCCCTCCTTTCTGACTGAAGAGGCCTGAAGAGGACTTTGCCTTGTCTAACTTTGTACAGCTATTTCCATAGGTGTATCCATTATCGATTTCAGGGGTTTTTTTTAGCAGCTTGTTGTTTAATAATAATAGTTGATGTTTAATAATTAATGATTTCCTAATATAACCTCATTTAGCTGGCATCCTGTATTATTTATATCCTTGTTAATTACTTTTTCTGGTGAGAGTTTTGGCATGCCTTCTCTCGATCAGTACATACATGACTGTTCCAATAGAACCACATGCACCTTGGTCTATGATTAAGAATTTAAGTTTCTTTAGTTGACTATTTGGCAGGGGTCTTATAAATTGATCTAGATGATTTGAATTAAACTACAGGATTTCATTTTTAAATAAAGTATGTAAGATACTTAACATTTTAAAACTGAGTTATTTTACATTCCATGTTTGCATCTGCTCTGAGACAAAGGATAGTTGTTTAGTGTATTAACCTAGACTTCAGCTTAAATTCTGGTGCTGTCCAAGTGCTGTGTGTTGGTTGGAAGTAAATTAATCTGAGTACCACCTTTCACATAAAATGAGGAAAACATGTGCAAAAACTTTACCACTGAGATTATTTGTTCATTTTGTTAAATGACATGTGATATTTGGCAAGTGGTGATAATTTGAGAAATGTTCTCGATACCAGTAAATCAAGTTTAGTTTATACTATATGACTCAAAATCTCCACCTTCATCTTCAAATGTTATTCTGTGAACATTATTTCTTTATCAGGTTTTAGCCTTAAAATTTGAACTATGGAATCATGTTATTTTTTTTTTATTAACTTTCACTTTTTAAGGATCATATCCAAAGAAGTATTTAGAAATAACTGTCTTCATTTTTCCTTATACTTTTGAGATTAAAGAATCATTTGTAAGAACAGAGTTTATTCTTGTAAATGTGCACAGCTCCGCTCTAAGAAAAAGGAAAGAAAGAAAAAAGAATAGAATTGAAAATTTCTAAAAGATTTTAAGTGTTCTAATTATAAATTAGATAAATACATGGATTATGCATATATATTGGCATGATTTAACCAGTCCATGATATATGCATAAATCAAAACATAATGTTGTACATCATAAATATGTACAGTGTTTATGTATAAATTAAACTGAATCAGTTAAAAATATTCAGCTTCTGTATCTGTGGACTCAACCAACCTTATACATTATTGAAAATATTCAGAAAACGTGACAAAAAATATTGACTATATATGTAGACTTTTTTCTTGTCATTTCCCCTAAGTGATACGGCATAACACCTATTTACATATCATTTCCATTGTACTCGGTATTGTAATTAATCTAGAGATGATTTAGAGTGGAGGATATTATATGCAAATATTAGGATCTTTATATAAGAATCTTTGGATTTGGGAGGCATGTGGACAGAATGGACTGGCTGAGGAGTGCATTATCAACATTCTTTTCTCTATCCTGCCCTGCTGCATCTTGGCTGTCATTCCTTATCATGATTTTCCTCTCATTGCCGGAAGCTGGAGCTGGCCAAGTTTTGGTCTGCATTTAAAATAGCTTCTCAGATGTGTTGTGTACATCTAACAACTACACACAATGAACATAATTATTATATGTCACAAACATGAACTAATAAAAAATTGAAATGAAAATGCAGAAAGGAAATATAGAGACCAGGAAGGGAGGGAAGAGGGAAGGAGAATAGAAAGAATTAAGATATGTTAAATACGCTTACCAACACCCTAAGATGAATGTAAACATTATATACTTTAAACATCGATTAATAAATGATTTTGTTCCTATTTTTCCATTTTCTCATATTAATCCCATTCCCTTCTATCCTTTCCCCTAGTCCTCCCACTTCCTTCCCCTTTGCCTCTTTTCTTCCTATTTCGCATTACCTATTACACATTTTAGTCCTTATTTACACTTTCAGTTTCTCACACCAGAGAAACTATTCGGTATTTACACATGTGTATCCTATTTATTTCACTTAAGAGTATTGCCACAATGTGCATCCACTTAGCTATAAATGTCTCTAATTTCTCATTTTTTATGGCTGAGTAGTGCTCCATTTTATAAAAAAACCACATTTTCTTTATCCAGTCTCCAGTTGATGGGCATTTGGGCTGTTTCCAAGTTTTAGCTATCACAAACTGTGCTGCTATGAACATGGGCACACATACATCACTGTGGTATGATTCTTTTAATTCTTTGGGGAAGATCCCCAGCAGTGGAATAGCAGGGTCAAATGGGACTTCCAGTCCTAGTTTTTTGAACTACCTCCATACTGATTTCCACAGTGCTTGCACCAGTCTACACTCCCACCAGCAGTGGAGCAGGGTTCCTCTTTCTCCACAGCCCTGCCAGCATTTGTTATTGGTTGATTTCATGATAGCAGCCATTCTTTCTGGAGTGAGGTGGAATCTCAGCATTGTTTTCATTTGCATCTCTCGAATGACAGGGATGCTGAACATTTTTTCATGTATTTATTTGCTATTTCTACTTCTTTGTCTGAGAAATGTCTGTTCATTTCAGATGCCCATTTTCAGGTTGGGTCTTTAAATTTGGGAGGTCTGATCTTTTTAAGTTCTTTATAGATTCGAGATAGTAGACCTTTGTCTGAGGAAGAGCAGGAGAAGATTTTTTCCCACATTGTGGGTTGTCTCTTCACACCGCTGGTGGTTTCTCTTGCTGTGCAGAAGCTTTTTAATAAGAAGAGATCCCACTTGTTGATTGTTTGTGCTAGTTCATGGGCAACTGAGGTTTCGTTCATAAAATCTTTTCCTACGCCAATGTCTTCAAGAGTTCTACCTAACCTCTGTTCCAACTGGTTCAGAGTTTCTATTTTAATA